TTGATCTGGACCTGTCAGTTTCTACTTCCTGTTGATCTGGACCAGTCAGTTTCTACTTCCTGTTGATCTGGACCTGTCAGTTTCGCCATGAAGCTTGTTTCTGATGTGAATTCAGCAATCTAAACTTGGTTCTGATGCAGATAAATCTGGTGTTTTTGAGCAGAACCTCCGTCTTTATTTAAAGTTTTGGGTTTGACTGAAACAGAACCAGGAAGTTTATCAGTTTTATTCACAACGTTTCATTTTAATAAGTCCTGATGGACGTGGAGTTTGGAGTTTCCAGGAATCTTTTTTATTCTTTTTGTGACTCATAAAAATAATATTTGTGTTTGGGAGCCGCAGAAAGTTCTGACGGTCTTTAAGTAAAGTGACCGGTTCTGGTTTGTGCAGTCTGAGGTCCGATGGGACGAACATTAGTCCAACTATTACCTTTGATTTTTCCTTTAATGGAGCGTTTCAAAAGTAAATAATCTGAGGTTTTTCAGCAGATTGATTTCTGAATTTTACACACAGAACTTTTCTGAACCGTTCAGAACCGGTTCTTGTCTTGACTGTAACAAAAATAAAAGTTCTGTTTGTGTCTGTTCGAGCAGAACCGCTGTTCTGGGTTCTGTTCGAGCAGGTCTGAGGTCAGATTTCCAACGTGAGCGGTGCCACCAGTCGGACGGTTCTGGTTCTGTTCATCCTGAAACTGACGGGTTTTGTCTTAAAGGATGTTTTTGATGGATCAGCTGGTTCTGAGAGTTTTGGGTCGCTCCGGTTGGTGTTTGTGTAGGAGGTCAGAACCTCAGAACCTCAGAACCTCAGAACCAGGACATTCTTGGATTTAGAAGAGAAATCTTTGTCTGATTGGGTTGTTTCTGACCTTTGACCCCTGGCTGTGGTATGCCCCCCCCCAAAACCAGGCTCACCTTTCAGAACTCGACCTGAAGTGATTCCAGATGTGGATCTTTTTAACCTCCTCCCCCCTGTGTGGCCCCCCGGGGCCCCGGCCAGCCACTCCATCAGGGCTGACAGCGTCCCCTCGGACAGCGTCTCTCCTCGTGTCTCTTCGTCCCCCCCGGTCCCCCACCCTCTGTCTTCAGCAGCACATCTGGAGCTCATTACAGAGGAGACAGAGAGGGGGAGGGAGGGGCCGCGAGTCTGAGCACAAGAGCAGGAAGGGCTGTTCAAAACTCAGCCAACATACATCCAACATACATCCAGCATCCAACAGTCATCCAACATATAGCCAACATACAACAGTCATCCAACATACTGTACATCCAACATATATCCAACGTACAACAGTCATCCAACAGTCATCCAACAGTCATTCAACATATAGCCAACATACAACAAAGTCATCCAACATACATCCAACATATATCCAACATACAACAGTCATCCTACAGTCATCCAACAGTCATCCAACATACAACAAAGTCATCCAACATACATCCAGCATACAACAGTCATCCAACATACATCAACATATATCCAACATACAGTCAACATACATCCAAGTCATTCAAAATCCAACATATATCCAACACATCCAACATGCATCCAACACATCCAGCATAAATCCAGCTGACCAGCTAAGCTTTAATAATCTTTTACAGCTGGTGTTTTGCTACTTTTAGTTGTCAGTTAGCCTTTTGCTACTTTCAGCATGGCTTTGGCTGTCGGTCGTGTCTCCATTCAAAATGTGGAAGGTGGCGGGTGATATGCATTTCTTCAAGGAACTTTAATTTGAACTGGGATTTTATTTGACTCAAACTAAACTCTAACGTTAAAACTTTAAACGATGAAACGATCCCTGAGAGTTGAAATGGTGTCGACACCTGAGCAGTAAACGAATCATTTCATGGTTTTAAAGTTCTCAGTTGGCCTGGAGGAACCAGAACGAGGTTTTTCTAACGATGTGAGCTCAGCTTCTAATCATCAGCTCCCCCGAGGCGAACAAACCCTTCTGTTGACGTTTTACAGGAAGTTCGGCCTCTTGGAGCTGAATCATGCAGGACCTGAGAACCATGTGGGACGTCTCAGGAGACATTTTCTGACCTGCGGGGTGGTGGGGGGGTTAGATTAGTCAACCAAACAACCCAAGTGGGCCCTCAACTCTTCTCTGCTTTTAAATGTCTTTAACGACAGAAACGAAGCGGTAAACCTTTAAAAACAGGCTTATCAGGCAGCAGATAAGCAGCAGAGGCTGCTGTCAGATCTGTCAGCTGCTCATCTGAGGAGCCCAACAACTGAGCTGCAGAGCCCTGAGGGACACCTGAACTGCAACAACAAGAGGGCTCGTTTGTAAAAGTCCTGCCTGGATCAGGTTCAGAGCCACAAACCGGATCTTCCGCAGGTTGTCTGAAGTCTGCCTCCCCCTGCTGGACGCTGCAGGACATTACAGCTTTTAATATTTTTACAGGATATTTCAAAGAACTTTGTGTTGAAGCTGCTTCTTTTACATGTTTTGTGTTTTTACAAACTCTCTTTTTATGAGTTCATGTTTTTTAATTATCTGAACATCCAACAGCTGATTGATCAAACCAGACCTCTGCGCTCCCAGTAAACATTAAACCAGAAGAGCCAGTTCACGCTGGGACCAAACTGCTGAGAAAACAGCCCACGAGGTTAATTTCATTTATAATTTATAAATTTAGACTCATCTCTGAAATCTGTGCATTATCTGAAGTTTTATAATAAAGAACAATACTTTTGTATAAAAAATGTTTCTATCATCAGCTGCAGGATTATAATGTTTTTATCTGAGTGCTCCTGCTTTTTGTCACCTTTTGACCTTTTCAGGTAGAATCACCGGCCCGGTCTGGACCGGCCCCAAGCCTGGTTCTGATCATCACTACTGGTTCAGGGATCAAAATTGAAAGAGTCAGGCAGGTACCGGTCATGGTTTGGATCAGGGACTGAGTGGAGATCAACGACCCGAACAAACCTGGGTTTGATTGTTAGCAAAATATCTCAAGAACCACTGGAGGGACTTGAATCCAACTCTCAGACACTGAACCCTCGACCTACGTCTAACAGCTGATTCACTTCCAAAGGTCATTAAAGATGGTCGCCACAGCCAGTCCAAGCTGGCTTCGGCTCGGTCCATTCCACAGTTAATGAGCTAAAGTTTGGTGTGGTAGTAGCTGAGGGTCGTCCTCAACTTGTCCTCTGAAAGCTTCATGTTGGACAGCATCTAAAACTCATTCCTTCAAATCCAAATCCAGGGGAACTCGATTAGATCGATCAATAGATTGAGAGATTATTAATCCCAGGGCAGGGAATCTGAGGAGCATTCGTAAGAATGATGACGTGTTTGTTAATAAAATAAAGTTCCGTGTTAAACGTGCAGTTTTTGAGTCACTCAGGAACAGAATCTGTTTTCAGCTCTTCCTGTGGTTCTGACGAGCTCCAAGTGAAAACAGGACTGATCCTCATCAGTCAGGGGTTCGGAGCTGATTATTCAGAGAAACACGACCCCGTGGGCCCACA